TATTATTTTAACTGCTGAAATGCAGACATGGGGCTTTTCCATCTTTTAGACAAAGCCTTTGTGCATGTGATCGTGTAGAAAAAAGGCATCAGTATTTTAGTGATCAGTCATCTTGATATTATTTACTTAAAGTACAAAACCTTCTGAAAAATGACCTTTTTCTTCACTTCATGTTGCAACAAAAGCAAAGGTCTTTCTGAATGCAGAGAAGTTTGATGTTGAACAAGAATACATCTCATGAGATGTTTACAAAGCAAGATAAAATTGCCATTGTAATCAAGATTAAATGTACCCCAGTAGGCCGTGATGAATAACAGCTCCATGGCAGAGATCTCATTATAGAATGGGAAACGAGGGGGAGAAACACACATTAAACAATATGGTTCATCTACAGCTGCATATTCTCCTATAACTTATTGCAAATCACCTCTTTTTTTTATCTAAATATCATATTTAAACTTTATTTCTACAAATCATGATTAAACCACTGCTTGCAAAACACAGAGTTCTAACCTCTTGTTATTACAACAGTGGGTTGGGAAATTCCAACAGCTCACAGTGATCCCTCAGATATGATTAACACAAGTACACATTGGGCTGTCTAATGAAATGTTGTGTTATAACTGACTGCTATACCATGACACCTTATCAAGCTCATTAACACCATCGTCGCCATTAAATGATTTGCAGTAGATTTGCTGTAGAAAAGGTCTGTCAGCTGTGTGCCAGCAAGATAAATGGCTCTGTGTCATATGTGATGTTTGTATTTCACTAAAGATAAGATTTTTTCTTGTTGAGGTAAAGAAATATATCAAGTGCTGCAAAAGGCCATCAAATTCCATATATCATTCCTTATGGGAGTCATTCACACCCAGCATGTGTTTATGTATGAATGGGACAAATGAGTAAAAATCATTTCAAGGCCCATTAATGTGATGAACGTGAATGTTTGGAGAGCATGATTTAGGGGTCATTTTGACTCGGCAGCATATGTATTAGTCAGTAACCAGTCAGTCTTTACAGCATCACAGCTCAATGTGGTTCAGCTCTGACTAAAATAATTATTATGTGTCCTTGCAAACAAAACCCAGACATGTTGCAGCCATAGATACAAACCAAAACCTAAATGCCAAGTATTTATGTATATTGATTTCTGGGTTAATGCTCTTTAGGAACAAGTAATTGATATTTATCTGTTGTGTTGTTTTATTCTCGTTGTCATAACGGCATATGGTTGGCATGACATGAAAATCCATCCTGTCTATTTTCTAGATGCATTTTGTTGATCTTATTGTGCATGATTCTTCCATGCGTGCATTTTTTATTTTTATTTTTTGGACCTATGTTTAATCAAAATGTCAGAACTCGAATAACTCTAAACAAACTTACTTTTCCCCATGTTTTTTAAACCAACCTTTCAGATTATCAATATCTTTTGTTTAGGATTTATTTATTTTCTCTATAAATATTCTAAATAATTTATTACGGTACCAGACTATATTTGCATTATGTAGTCTATAGTACACATAGCATGCAGTAACATGACATTTTCACTAGCTACAAATGATTTATTTTCTCTTGCACTGTTTATCATATAGCACTGGAGTTGTCAAAAGGTTAAATGATGTTCCCGTGGTACTGGTACAGCTATTCTGTGACATTTTTTCTGCTTGCATGCATTTTATTTTACATGGACAACAACTCTATGCTGTTAGCTTGAAAGATGCAAGTAGTACAAAGAGAGTCATAGCTAGAAATGCATTGAGTGGATAAATTTACATTTGCATCTATTCATTTAGCAGACACATTCATCCAAAGCAACAAACAAATGACACAATCAATTCATTGCAAGAAAACAATACTACTATTATGCTGTCTTAACAAAATCAACATAATAATCTAGAGTAAACTAGGGTTAGGGCTTTTTCAACATCACAGAGACCAATATTTCCAAATGTAACTCTTCTAGCTTTCAAACTACACCCACTACAGTAAACTCAGCACAGATCATCATATTCTGACTCAGGTTGCTATGTCTTTCCTAACTTATTGGACTTTCCTTGGCAGATGATAAAAAAATCCCTCAAATGTCTGAGACATTGAAAATCTCTGACTGTAATTCTTGTGATTTTATGTTTTGGTATATTATTTATTAGATGTTGTATTTTGTAAGGAGCCACATTCCATATATATGTGCAGAGGTTTGTTATAATACAGTTTTCGATCAAGCTATTCAACTTGTTTTTAGTGGTCCGTGACTAAATTCACAGCCTGAATCAAGAGTGTAGCACAAAAATGCACACACATACCTGGAATAATATGCAGCTAATCTGGAAAACTGTTGATCCAGGCAGAAAACAAAGGTAGCCTTGTTCTAATGTTAGGGGATTTACATTTTTCCTCTTAGCAGGAGTCAACTTGGATATCAGAGTTGTAAATTAGAGCAGAACTCTCCAAGTGTTTGCCAAGATAGCCTATTTGACTCTGGACGGTATAAGATGTATAGTACATAATGTCTCCTCCAGGGCCTCAGTTAACTGAGAACTGAAGTAATTTCATCCGTTGGTTCCAGAGTCCCTCTTTTGTCCTCCAAATGTCCAGGTCACATAAGCCTTAAGACTTTACATTTCACATCTGTACTATTTTCCCAGCCACTCCCACATGTCCCCTGTTATTTCTACTTATTTATGAACATCCAGGATATGTTTTCTTAAAGGATGAGCTGGCCAGCGAGGTATTTAACCTCAGAGGAAGTTATGATTTTGATTGTCTCTTTGATAGACCATGAATTTCTCTACAATTGTGTTCAGTTATGTTGTAACGGCTGTCAAGTGTATATGTATATGCGCATTCCATGATATGGTGCATTTTGGTGTCCTATGACTTGCATTTAAAGCATTAACACAAAACACATGACTTTTCATATTAGATATTAAAGATATATTTGATATTATGGTTAACAGAAAATAAATGTCATATTTTGACAATCTGTTTGATTTGAAATAAATAAATAAACAAATAAATAAATAATTTCCTAACTTAACCCTGTTTTCCATTCTGGTCTTGATTTGTTTTTAATCATATATGTATTTTTAAATCAATAAATTTGGTCTATTTTTTAGTTATTTGGTCTAGTTTTTCTGTTTATTTTTCTGTTTATTGCTAGAAAATAATAAAAGCACATAATAATAATAATAACTAAACTATAATGTGTTTAATAACAATAACAACAACAACAACATTTATAATAAATAATTGTGTTAAAGATAATTATTTTAGGACAATAAAATATTTTAAAATATTAAAATACTATATTATTATTATTATTATTTAAAATATTAAACTCAGTTGTATATTCTAGTTATTGATATTTTTGGCACCCAGTGGCCTGTACTGCATAGTCATATATTTTCTTTCTGCTGTCAAACTTTTGCTGCAACAGAATTGTGTATTCCTGCCTTGTAAATGCATTTAAATTTATTATATTTTTAATAACGACATCTCTTAATCTTCAGCAGAAAAGTGAATTGCGCTGACTCTCGTGAGAAGTGAATCCAAATGATGCTTTGCTGATGCTCTCCATGTTCCGTGTGATTGGCTGTTTGCTGCACGTGTCACGCTTTCAGGTGCACGCGCTCCAGAGTTATTCTCGAACTCTGGTTCAAACTCAGAGTTGACAGAGAATGCTTATATCGAGCTTTGTGAGCCCGGTGAACCTGATCTAAACCAGGTTGGCTTTATCAGGTTTGGTCAACTCAACTCAACTCAACTCAACTCTGCAACTCGGAGTTTGTTCATCTCGCTTCGTGCTACAGGCCACTGGTGTTGTTATTAGTTATTGATATTTTTGGCACCCAGTGGCCTGTAGCACGAAGCCAGTTTTCGGGCTTAAGAAGATGGGTTACCATGGTAACTTACGCTACACGGCTACCCTGCTCCGGAGCAGGTTTTATTCTGGGTTAGAGATCACAAACCGTGAATCCAAATGATGCTTTGCTGATGCTCTCCATGTTCCGTGTGATTGGCTGTTTGCTGCACGTGTCACGCTTTCAGGTGCACGCGCTCCAGAGTTATTCTCGAACTCTGGTTCAAACTCAGAGTTGACAGAGAATGCTTATATCGAGCTTTGTGAGCCCGGTGAACCTGATCTAAACCAGGTTGGCTTTATCAGGTTTGGTCAACTCAACTCAACTCAACTCAACTCTGCAACTCGGAGTTTGTTCATCTCGCTTCGTGCTACAGGCCACTGGTGTTGTTATTTATCATTCTGTTCAGTTTTGTAAAATATGAATATGAAAAGAAAAAAAGACATGCTGTTTCAAGTAATGCCAAAGTTATGTGGCTTGAAATCCTAGCAATACTGTAGTCACATGCGATCACATTTAATTAGATGGACCCTTACTGTGTCATGCTGTCATGCGGGCGCATTGTGGTTCTAATCCATTGTGATCTGTTATGACTGAGAAAAGTCTGACCTTTGACACAGGTAACTAAAGATTGGAAGAGATGGTGTCTGTTCAGTGTGTCTGCTGGAGAATGATTAACATCTGTCTTGTGTCAGGATTGGGCTATGAAAGTACTGCTGCTTTCTCCACCATTAATCATCTGGTTCAGGACGGGGCTTATCGAGTTGAGACTCCCTCCATGTACATTTACTTTGTAAAAACACATCTGACCTTGGGCAAGGACATTTTTGATTAATTGGCTGATTGGCTGAAGGTAATTTAATTTGAATATGTCCCTCAGCAGCTGTAAAGGGATGGAGGGTGGACTACCTCCTCATGAAGGTCACACTGCTCATAACCTCTAAGTGTCCTGCAACAGGCTTGTGTGCAGAAGTGTGCAGTTATGTATGTGTGTGTGTGTGTGTGTGTGTGTGTGTGTGTGTGAGAGAGAGTTTTCCATGGCTTATTTGTGCTCTATGCTAGTACCTAGTCAGGTAATCTTTAACTGTAAAGTTTTTTGTTGTTTGGTCCCCTCACCTTGAGTAGAGGTGGAATGCAGCAGGAACAAGCAGAGGGTGGTCAGTGTTTGGGTTTTAGTTTCTATGTTAGGCTGATTACTAGGGTAAAATCTGCACTGGGACGCCCTCCTGTTTAGGCGAGGAGATTTCTAACCATGGCACTGCCGTCCTTGCACAAAGTTTTGACTCGAAACTGTTAATAAATGAACTATCAGTTGAGAACTTTAACTATCAACAAATGTTCTAAAGGAAAAAAAAACTTTTGATTTTGGTCATGAAGAGCTCAGCTTTGTGGGTTATAGTGGAATGTGCCAGCAGAGTTCTTGGCATCTCTACTGCTGCAGGTAGGACTGTGTCTTCACTGTTCTTTTGTAGTCCATTGTTTCACTGAAAGTGCTATACATAACCTTCAAATATAAAAATATATTTTATGCATTAGTAGTCATTACAATGTTTTACCCCGTGATTGAAGTATAGAATTCTAAAATGTGCATTTTGTGCTCAATACCCAACATAACCTGCTTTGAAATGAGGGAAATAAAGGCTGATCTGTTCCATTGTAAAGGTAATGACTCATTTAATTTGAAATAGAGCATAAATGTATATGCAAAAAAAAAAAAATTGCCATGAGTAGGGATGTATAAATTAAATTTAAAGTCCAACAATTATAACCCCTGTTATATGTTACTGCAATCATTCCCCAATTTAAAAAATAAAATAAAATAAACAAATACCAAGCTTTTTTAAAATAAAAAATGTTTAAGAGACTGTTGAAGTATTAGATCCACATTAACCCACAATGCTTAGCTTGTGAAATGTTTTTGCTTGCTTTATTGTTAATGTTCTAGAAATAAGAAATTAAAAAAAAATCTAATTTTCAAGATGTAGATTAATATGAGTAAAACTAAAAGGTGTTATTAAATACATAAGAATACTAAGAGTAATACATAATATACAAGTAATAATGTATATTAATATTATAATATATAATGAGTAATAATACAATTTTAGTAATACAAAAAAAAATGCTTTTGAAGTATTTAATTCACAAATCTCAAGTAAATGTTTCAAATGTGCTTAAGGATTTCTCCAATTTGCCATAGACTTTGCATTGCACAGGGAACTGCACAATTCTCTCATGTTGAATAACATGTATTTTATTCAGTTATATTTATTTTTGGTTTGTACATTGTATGTTGTTTTCAAAACCAGCACAACAATACTGATCTTAGGTTAATTTGCCCAGCAGTGGTGTGTGGCAAATCTGACATCTAGTGGCCACAATAAAAATTGCATCCCAAAGGTTTTGCCTGCTATTCAACTGTTAAAAAGTATATGTATATATCATATTTAAAACACAGTGATTATTATTTTTCAGTTGATTACAGCATATGCTTCAGAATATAGATTTTTATTTCTATTGATTATGATTTCTGCAGGTTAAGTTTAATGTGAGTGCTGTGTGTTTGTTTCATCAGTGCTTTGTGCAGTGGGTTTAGAGACTCAGAAACAGGGAGAGTTCAACAGCTTGGCTGTCTATCTCCTGTGAGTATCAAAATGAGCTGCTGTGGGAGGCGTAGCACTTTGTTATTCACTCTCAGACAAAGAAGGTACAAAAGCTGTCACTGGGGAAGTAAATTTTCCAAAGGTATACCTTTGTACCTAAAGGGTGCATATTAGTACCTTAAAGGTACATATTAGTACCTAAAGTGTATATATTATCACCTAAATGGTATATAATAGCACCTGCAGAGGTATACATGTTAGTACCTTTTGAAAGTGTACTACCCCAATGACAGCTTTTTTTACTCAAGAGTGTTCATATGAAAGTTCTCTGAGACATGTCCTTCATGTCTGTTTCTTTTTTATTATTATTATTTTATTTTTTCCTAATGTAAAAATGTATTATAGTAATAGTGTTTATTAATATTTTGAATGAGTTTTTATTTTTATAGTTTCTGTTTTTATTTATTTTATTTTTTTTTAGGTAAATGCTTAGAATTGTTTAGTCTGTTTTTGTAATTTTTATTATCTTTTTTTAAGTTATTTTAGTACTTCGACTTAAAATATAAATTTTAAAAGTTTTTCAGTTTCAAAGCATTTATTCTAAGTAACAAAAATGTTTGTATGGCTTTAGTTTTAGTTAACAACAATGGTTCAGGCACTTTTGCCTGAATTGTTAGAATCCACCTATTATGCACACACAGTATTGGTATCTTGGTCAATCCTAGTGTTGACTTTGGAGTTATCACTGCTTTTGACGCCACTCATAGGGTGGTGTAAGCAACCGAACAGAATCATTCTAAGTTAGTTACACAAACAAACAGGCGATGGCTCATCACCTTTAGGAACATGGTCACTGAAGGCCACAGTCATTCCATTTCTAACTATAGCAGGCAATACAGTAGCGCCCTTGGGAATTACACACAGATGGAGGCAAATGGGCCTCTTGTCCCAGATTATCTGATGTTTCCGTGCTCAATGCCAAACCAGAGAGCTTCTGCATGAACAACGGGGAGATATTTCCATTGGGATTAAACATAAAGTGGCTGTTCACATGCACGAACACCAGAAGAGTCAGAGTAGCTTTATTGTCATTCCAGCTCTATACAGTTAGCATACAGTGAAACGAGACAGCGTTTCTCCAGGACCAAGGTGCTACATAGACAAAAACACAGAACACAGGACTACAAAGAAACTAAAGTGGACATAATTAAATTATATTAAATAGGCTAAGTAAAAAGTTAAATATGAACTAAGAAGATTATTTTAAAAAAAAACTAAAAAAAGAATACCATAAACAGCCAGGAAGTTTATGATCAAGTAACCGTTAAATGGTAATGAATGTCTAATAACAAGCAGTGATTAAAGTCAACATTAGTTCATGTTCACAGTCCATTTTACTTTATTGTGGCGTGAATTAGGATTTTAAATGAGGAAACTTGTAAGGTGGGACTTCATTTTATTCTCAGGAATTGATTAGACTGAAAAGTTGGAGTTACATTTAAATAATATATTCATAATAAAACCAAGAACATGTATTAATAAAGTAAACAGAGTACATTTTTATTTCGTTTTTACTTTAAAGTATGTTTTGGTATCTCTTATTGAACTATTTGTACTGTTTTTCTTTTTACTAACAAAAAGTTAGGTATTTTATAAACCACTGCTTTACTTCTGTTTGAATTCTCTTCAGGCTGTCTTCGGTGGTGATCATGATTTTTGAAGTTGCCTATTTCATTGACGCTCTGCTGGCAATGTGCCTTCCGTATGTTCAATCAAATTATGAAAGAATCATGTACTTGTGCTTGTTATGTCATAATCTGTGGTATTATTGCTATTTTAATCAATGCATTAATAGTAATACATATCTGTTTTTCTTGATTGGAGTTGTCCACCCACATGGAAGATTTTCATTCTTTGGAAGAAGATGGCTAATGTTGGGGGTTTTCAGAAGTTTCTGTACTACACAATGATGTCTTTGATGTGTTTCCTGCATCCGGTGCTTGTATGGCATGCTGTAATACCAGGTGCTTCACTTTTTACATAAATTATATATTTGAAAAGTAAATAAATACATAATACATTTAACAAAATGATAAGCATGATTGAAAAACAATTTGAATTGGTAAATATCTGCTTATTTCTGCCAGTGAATACACTAGAATATAGACAAACTTAAATCAATTCATTTGGACTTGGTGAGATCTATAAAGTAGTATTATTTTTTTAAAGTTTTTGATTGGGAGTCATTTAGTCTGTAAAAATACCCCCCCCTCCCCAACCAAACATATTATGGACAGACATAACGGTTAACATGAATTTAGAAACTTTGTCTGTTTCTTTGCAGGAATTATGCTGGTAGTGACTGGATTCTTTAACTTCATACTGAGCAAAAAGAAGTCAGATCCGCCTAAAGATTCCAGGTCATCGTATAGAGACCCGGCTCTGTCTTCTGTCTGTGTCACAGACAGGGAGGACACTGAACACACATTCTCTTTCTTCCACGTCATTTCAGGCAAAAGAGCATCTTTTTTTCCAAGCAATAGCCGACTGCATGGGCGCACAGACAGGGCTCAGACAGTGAAGAATACCCAACGCAAGAACAGACAAACAGACACAAGAAATGTGCACTTCATTGAGAGTCTCAGACATAATGATACTGAAATGGAAGAATACCATGAAGTGGAACCAGTGGATACCACGTCAGATAAAGCACCAATGATTAGACTGTAAACATGAGAGATCATAGTGTTATAAATAATTTTAGGCATGAGGTGCTAGTTAAGACGGTACAAATACCTCTACTCAAAATCTGACCAATTATTCAAAGAATGAAAATTATTTTTCTTTATGTTCACTTATTCGTGTGATGGATTACTCCAGTCTTCAGTGTTACATGATCCTTCAGAAATCATTATGGTGAATTTATTATTATCCATGTTGAAACATTGAAAATGTTGTTCTGTGCATTTTTGTAGAAACCATGATTTTTTTTTCTCACATGACTAATGGATAAAGTTGAAAAGAATAGCATTTATTTGAAATAAATATCATTTTTTAAAACAATATAAAAGGCTTTAATGTCACTTTTGGTAAATTTAATGCATCTTTGCTGAACAAAGAAATTGCATATACAAAAATTATTTTTTACACAATGTTTTTTGTTTTGTTTTGTTTTCACCAAATGGCAATCATCTCTATTGTAAAACAATCAGCAGCAGATCAAAAGCAAATACATTGTAAAAATATTGAGTAACCTAAAAAAAATTATTTGTGTAGTGACATCTAAATTAACTGGGTTTTATTAAAGTGTAATGTAGTAGGACTGAATCAACCTGAATAATTTTTTTAATATATGCTCATAGTTTTTAACATCTTTTTTTTTTTTTTTTACAAGATTGAGCTCCTGAAACAACCTTTAAACACTGTCAGCCAAAGAGTTGCTTTTTATTCCAGTCTGTAACCTTAAGCCTGGATCTCCTGCATCCAGTCTCCATACGTCAATACAATTAAGAGATTCCATTCATCATACTGACCCAGACAAGAGGGTTTTCAGCATAAAGACTGGACCGCAACCCCCAGGCGGTATTCCTCTCCATTAACCTGTATGGATGACTTCAACATCCTGAATACTTGAGTATGCTGCATTCATGTGTGTTGTTCTTGGTGTACTTCATGGAAAAATATTCAATCACACAGTAAATAAATTATTTGCACTTGTGCTGTGGGTCTAATCAAATAGCTTCAGTGTTTTACTGGCATTTGCAAATGGAGAGTCACACATGGGCACTGTTCAAAAGAACTGGAGTGAAAAATCTGAGCATCAGTGGGTCAGGCAATAATGCTTTCTGCACCAATAACGAGAATGACAGATGCAAATAAACCCAGTAAATCATCATACAGCAAATCTTCCTTGATCTTCTTTGGCTTAAAAATGCCCCTTAATAGCTCAAAATGATCTAATACAAAATGAAGACAGTGGGGAATACCCATAGGCCCTTGTACTTGGATGATCTAAATAGCTATACCTTAGAATTCACAAAAGATTAACTCTTATTTTGTTGTTTTAAATAGATGTTTTTGGGCCACTATTAAGATGATTAATGTTACTTTTAGTGAACATTACTGTTCAATGCTTTCCATTTGTCTCCATACAGATGAATAGCAGAAGTGCAGTTTAATGTGTACTTCTGTGGGAAGTTAAGTTTATTCAATGTATGGTTGAGAGTCATAATTTCCTGTCCATATTTAATATTAAAATGTGATCTTTTCTAAATTTAAGCCAATTCAAATGACGTTGAAACAATGATATTTTAACACAAATCTGAGGTCACTCTACTTGCAGCTATAGCTAATCTCATCCAAAAATAAAAAATCTGTCACCATTTATTCCTATCATTACTCATGTTGTTCCGAAGATTTTTTTTTTTTTTTTTTTTTTACAACAGAAGTCAGTGGTCATCAAACTGTTTTGGTTAGGCTACCAAGCAAGCACTATTCTTCAATGTATATGGGAAAGAGAGTCATAGGCTATAGGTTTAAATTCACTGTGAAGTTCACACTGAAATATTTTGAGTATTTAAATAAGGTTTACAGTGTATTCACTTTGTTTCTAAATTCATAAAAAGTTCCCTTATTTGGCAAGTGCCGTTGATATAATCATTTCCCTTTTAAAACAAATCTGTCTTCCCATGAGGGAAGTGTCTTGGCAGCTCAAAGCATCTACTTCCTCAAATATTTTATCCGACCTTTCGGTGTCATATTTTCCTAGATGGTATTCTCAGACTGAGCTAAAAACAGGAAGCTCATGTGCCCCAGTTGTCAGACTGAAAGAAACTATCTAGCGTTGCATTTATATGCGTGCTTAAGTGTTAATCCTTACACATTTGATTTTAACTGAAGCTTTAAAAATTATTAAAATCCTACAGCTTAATGAAGTTGTAATATGACAGGTGGACCGAATGCAATTTAACGGCAACCTTTCATTTGCAGCTTAATTGTCTCGTGGTGGTTATCGCAAGAATAGTGGTAATTATCTCACAGACATGCTAATAATGGTGTGAACGGTCCCGGCGTTTCCCAGGGCAACCGCAGAAGACTCCCGCCCACGGACGTCTCTGATTGGCTCCTGTACTCAGCGGAGTGTCGGATTGGTTTACACAGCTGCCATTCTTCTCAACGAGTAGCGTTATTTTGACCGTCTATTCCCCGAGGAAGCAGCAGGGTGAAGTGGAAGATAAGACGTTGTGTCTTACAAAACAGCTGGGCTTCGTCGGCTCTTACAAAGGAACGGCGTTTCATGAGATGGTAAGGACAATATATGCAAGGAAACAGAAAAGATATGATCTCTAGACAAGAGTGCGTGAATGGATATGGTTTCATTTGAGATGTTTTTTTTTTCTAATTAATTCTGCAGGTGAACTGTAGCCTATGTGCCGCTGTCTTCTTTTGAAGGCTACCTTGACTTCTTCTGAAACTGTTCTCAGGTGCGTGTCTTTGTACAGCTGTCAAAACAAACTGTAGGCCTACTTGAGTGAACCATCTGACAGGCCACATATTTACCAGATGTGTCAGGATTGTGATATTTTCTGTATGTTTCCTTTTCATAATGAAAGCAAATCAAAAATAGCCTATTTGAAACTTGTGTGTTTTACCGGTGTCTTTCAAATCCGTCCAGCTTCTCCAAAATAGTGACAGAAATCCAGAAGTGGTTAAGGACTCTATGGCTGATATATTCCTGCAGCAGAGTCGCAGCTGGTTTGCAGTAATTGACTGGGTGGTGGGCAGGGGGCTTCACAGTGTAATTTCTTTATGCAGGTGGAGAGCATCTCTAGACATGACCCCTTGTTTTTAAATCAGTCTAATGCACAAGTGGGATTCTTTCTGGTAGACACAGTAGATTGTGTTATTTTTATTTTTTCTCGAAAGGCGTTTCTTGCCATGAGACTAAAGTGGCGTATTTAATAATTAATGAGAATGGACATAGACAGAGGTGGGGTTAGTTCATAGAATATTCAAATTATTTTCCTTCACTGAATAGAAAGCTTTTGTTGATTGTATTTAGGTGAGTACAGGTAAATTGGGACACTTTCAGATAATTTGTGTAAATTGTATTTTTAAAATTAAATGTCAAATGGCTTTATTTCAAATATGGACATAAAATAGATCGAGAATTGCACAAAGACCATGCAAAAACTTTTACAAGGTTTTATTAGAAAAAAAACAGTACAAAATATATACAAATTCCATCTACATAATACATATATCATTTATCTGTGCAAATAAAAAGCAGGCAGGATAAATGTCAAAGACACATAGGGCCCTATCATACACCGGCGCAATGCGGCGCCAGGCACGACGCAAGTGTTTTTTTTGCTAGTTTCAGCCCGACACAGTTGTCATTTTCACGTCTTGCGCCACGTTGTTTAAATAGCAAATGCATTTGCGCTCATTCGTGCGCTCATAGGCGTGCTGGTCTGAAAACGAGGTGTGTTCAGGCGCATTGCTATTTTGAGGCAACTAAAATAGACTGCGCCATTGACCAACAAAAACCTGGTCTGAAGTCTGGCGCAATATTTATATTTATTTTTTTGTTATTTAAAGAGCGCGTTAGTAATATGCGCCTATAAGCGTGTGAACAACGCGCGTACACGTTGCTTATTACACACACAGGGATGCGCAGCAGCACACAAACATTTTTAAAAATGAAAAATTAAAGGATTAAAATGTAAAAGATTATTATTGTGTACATAAATATAAAAATGGCTACATTTCATAATGGATAGTCTTTGCATGTATCAGAATTACGCACACGAGCAGATCCGTTCCCTCACTAAAGAAGCGTTCAGTTTTTCCACTTGCTAATTCCGCCATGTAAATAGCGAATCCACCATGGCGCGAGCGCAACTGGCTTTTAAAGGGAATGGGAGATGAGACTCTGATTGGTTTATGGCACTTTACGCCCAAAACACACCCATTGTGTTACCCTGGGGGTAAGCAGATAAATATCAAATTTTTATTTTTGGGTGAACTATCCCTTTAAGCGCAATTGCGCTGTGCACTTTAGACCATGCGCTTGGATCGTTAAAATAGGGCCCATAGTCTTTCTATACAGAAAAGGTAGAGACTGTTGAATTACAGCCTCTTGGGCTTTTTTGGTCTATTCTTCTTCTTGAGCTGCAGACAGACCTTCCTCCTCTGTGTGTTGAATTTAATCCTGGACAATAGAACAGTGAAGGGGTTTAATTATTGGGGAGGCCCGCAAAGCTGAGCAAGCTAAAACACATTCTCAACCCTAAATCAATGCACACCATTAATGGCAACGTAAACACTTAAAATTCTCTAGAGACCATATTTATCTTGTCTCAAACATCCCTGAAAGCATCAGCAACTGTATACAATGTGTAAAACGCAAGGCTTCAAGTGCTGCATATAACCAGTATTTTTATTTATATTTTTTGTCAATATTTTTTTTATGTATTTGATTGTCAATATTGTTAATGTATTAATATGCAGTTATAGCTTTTGTAGCTATGGTATGCAGAGAGGGGAGCTAGTGAATCTTTAGAATGAGTATATGTGCCACAGAGTGAGGTTTGAAATCAGTGTACTTCTTAATTGAAACTTTTTTTTTTAAATGAGTGTATTAATATTATAATCAAATCGTTTGCAGTGTCATTAGAGGGAAACATGTTGTTGACATACCTTTTCCAGCATTTTTGCATTTTTTTCCCCTGCTTGGAGTCTGGATTTAGACAAGCTTGTTTACCTGACAGCTGGAGTCTGTGGAGGAGAACAGCGTGTTTTAAATGTGTGCAAACCACTGCAAGCAATAAGATACAGCAACATTTGATCAAGGGTGGCATTTACTCATGCCACCCTTCCAAACAAACTTAATTTGAAGTCTTATATTAATCATACCGAAAATTAATTTAATCTTTGCATCGCTTTATTAATGCTTAGACTATTGTAAAAGTGTTTTTACTAAAACAAACTTAAACCAGGTAAAGTGAGACATTTTAGTTTTGCATTTCATATTTCTTCCTTTTTCCTATTTCCTATCCCGCTGCATCTGTATTCACTAGATTTTGCCATAAGAGAGCTCATATTTCCAGAGTTCAGTGGTATTATTTGTTTTATCATGCCCACTCATGCCTAATTTCAAATGAAACTAATCTGATGCAAAAATCATCTTGCCATGGCCTTGCTTTGTGCTTCCCACCAGATAAATTATCCCAACTCGCGACATGCCTCAACATGAGATATCGTGTAATATCTTCACACATTGTTAACAATTACATGGATTGCAAAATGTCCAGGAGGGATATAATTGTATGTTAATTATTACAGACTTATAGTTACAGTAAAGTAGTGAATTTATTAGAATAGTACTAGATTTGAGGCAGGGGCATCATACACATTAAGAGGTCACATTAACTTACTTAATATGTTTTTTTTTTTTTTTTTAAAGATGGTAAAACAATAATTGCATCTTGCCACGACAGGCAGTAATCACCAAGCATTTTCAGAAATGCAAAAGAGTAACATTGACATAAAAATACCTTTCGTGTTCCACATGAAAAAAAAACGTCATGCGAGTTATGAGTGACATGAGGGCAATAGATGAAGACAGAATTTCAGTTTGAAGCAAATGATCTGTGGAAGGAGACTCGATCGGAATTGCCAAATTTATACATGATTTCCGCAAAAGTGTTTTAGACAAACACTTTTTATGACAATTTATCAAAGGTACATTTTTTCAGAAGCTGCACTTAAAATCCACTTGTCTCATAAATCTTATGTATCACAACACATTCAGATACCCCTGAAAGGGAATTATGCTTTTTTACTCACATGATTTGAACCTTGTTGCAAAGAGGTTCTTTCTGTCTGATCGTGTAGTCTGTAATTTTTCTCCATTGCACTGAGCCAGTTTCCTCAACACACTCACATTTTTCACGATGGGACATTGCAGCGGTCCTGTTATCTAAAAACAAAGCCAGAAACATAAAACCATGTGTAAACCCACATCACCTCCATGACCAATATCTGACAAAAATCTGTAAACTGTCCTGATAAGTATTAAAATGCTACTGTACCTGTGATGAAGTGTAAGCAGATTGAGATTAGGAGAAGCAGGCAGACATTTGATTGCAGAGTCCTGAAAGCCATTTCTCTAAAGCTGTGTCATTCACAAGAATGTCTCTCGAGTGTGTTTGCACAGAACTGTACTCTTGTTCTTCCTCACTTTCCCTCCTTAAAGTATTTCCTGTTTTGCCATATTAAGCAGGATCAGAGTCACATGATTTCAGGTAAATGAGAGGTGATTGCTCAACCACCTTGTGTATGTTGGTTTTGGGTCTGGAATGCTATTGTTCTGTCAGTGGTTATATGGTTCAGAAAGTTTTTACTTGATCATGTGCTTTTCTGTATCCATCTAGAATTAATTGTTCAAACTGAAGGGTTCCCACACATTGAACCAGTGAATATACAAAAAATTCCAAATCAGGATAACCATGTGCTTCATGTGATATATTCTGTTCTGTTCTGTTCTGTTCTGTTCTATTCTATTATTTTAAATGACTAAATCTGGCTGCATTAGGTTATACCAAGTAATATTTAAGTGTTTAATAGTTCCTTTGCAATTGCATTGCACTTTTAACAGTATAGAATTTCCAAAAATGTAACTTCTCCAGGCCTGGATCCTTGTGAAAACCCTGACATTAAGTTAAACCATCAGCATTGTACTTTGTTTGCATTTGGGTATATTTTGGTATATATATATATTTATTATTATTTTTTTTTTACATTTATATTGATTTCTATGTATCGAACGTCTGTAACATGATTTGACATCCAAAACTGTTAAATTTAAGACAAGAATTTAAGAATTGTATAGCAGAATTTAGTCCTATGTAAACAGACATGAGAACACAAGAAAGTAGAGAAACACACTGAAGTTCTCTTTTTTTGAGTTAGTTCATGTTTATTATATTAGTTTATATTAAACTGTAAACTGTAAAAAAAAATCATTTTCTGTGATCACTGAACAACACACATTTATAAGAATATATACATTTATGAGAACAATAAGAATATATAAATGTATAAGAATTTATAAGAACATAAAGCTGTGTCTTCTGACTGGCCGGCACGTTAGACCTGCATAGCAGGGCTCATACTCATCCCTGTATAACATGTTCTTTTAACAGTATAGAATTTCCAAAAATGTAACTTCTCCAGGCCTGGATCCTTGTGAAAACCCTGACATTAAGTTAAACCATCAGCATTGTACTTTGTTTGCATTTGGGTATATTTTGGTATATATATATATTTTATGAGAACAATAAGAATATATAAATGTATAAGAATTTATAAGAACATAAAGCTGTGTCTTCTGACTGGCCGGCACGTTAGACCTGCATAGCAGGGCTCATCCCTGTATAACATGTCAAGGTTAGATGCTGTCCTTGTTGTAACATGTCTTTATTGTCCCTTGGCCTCCATACACATGTGCACTCCTCTGAATTCAGCCTTTTCTTATGTCCTTGGCTTGTTTAGTGCATATGAATGTACAGCAGCGCTAAAGCACTTTGCACAAGCGTTGAAGAGTATTCTCTCCTGTGGATCTCTTACGTTCTTTGCCTCAGTGTCTTTAGTATTTGAGGTTAAGACTTGACCTTCCTGGATTTAACCTGCTTCCTGTTTCTTCGCCTTGGCTTTTGCTTTTGTCGGCGTATGCATTTTTTGCTGTCCTTGCCATCATTTTGCATGCTGGAAAAAAACCCCCCAGTAGAATCAAGCTCAGCAGATTAAGACTTGCAGACCACCATCATGTTTGGAGATGTTTGGAGTGAGTGATTTTTGGATATGCTGTGCTGTAGTTTAGAGACTCATTCAGCAATAACACTCTCTTACCTTTGCCAACATTTCAGCAGTCTTTTGCCTTGGGGACCATCTGGACTGAGACACACGAGACTATTATTCTTCTGCCGTGTGACTCTAATGAAAAATACAGAAAATAATAGCATATGTAAACCCAATTCTGCACGTACATTTAGAATCTTATGAAGTAAAATGTATGTGAACTACTTACATGATCTCATCCTGTAAACAGTTAGGTCTTTTTAGAGTGACTTTGAAATCTGAAAATGGTCCCTTGACTCTTTGTTTGACCTGTGGACACTGACAGGTCTTTGGAACATATTGGCTCTCCACGACTTGGACTGTATTTAGGAAAATATAAAAAGTGAAATTATTAAACAGCCATGATGTAGATTTTTGTACTTTTTAAAAAAGAAATTAATAATTTTATTTAGCAATGCATTTAAATGATCAAAAGTGACAGTAAATGCTTTGACACAAAATATTTATATTTAAAATGCTGTTCTTTGTAATCTTTCTATTAAAGAATCCTAAAATAGTATCACAAAAAAAACAAATCAGCATATTAGAATGATTTCTGAATGATCATGTGACACTGAAGACTGGAGTAATGAAAATTCAGATTTGCCACAGGAATAAATGGCATTAAAAAAGTAATTTTAAATTGTAAAATATTTAACAATATTACTGTTTTACTGTATTTTGATCAAATATATTAAGCCTGGGTGAGCATAAAAGACTTCAAAAGCATTAAAAATGTTTTGAACGATAGTATATAATTAAAATATCTAAATTATTATTCTAATTAAAGTAATTTATAGTTAAACTTGTACAGCTAGTTTTGCAGAGATTTTGACAACTCCGTTATAACCCGACAGGTGCTCAGTTATTGTTTTAGTTCAGTTACAGTACATCTGTTCTGATACACTCACCTGTTAGAAGGATGCTGAGGGTGAAAGTCAGCAAAGCATACACTGTCAGCGTCATGATGAAAGTGTTTCTGAGTGTAAGTGCTTAGTGGCTTGCTGTCATTTTATACTCCTATGAGGGACTTCCCAGCTCTTGTGCCACTCCTGGAAATTCCAGTGCTTTGTCGCTACTCCCACGGGATCAAGCCATTTGAACACAGATAATAGAGAGGCATTTACAAAAGCCCACTACTGCAGGAATCTTTAAAAACTTGGTCACATATAGATTATGCAGGCTATGAGCAATTCCTTATTCACATTTGACACAAAAATGTAAATCCTGTCATGATTTCCTCACCCTCATGTCATCTCAAACCTGTATGCTGTTATTTTTCATTGTTGAAAGACTTCTGAATCCATATTGTAGTTTAATATATGGAACAGATTCCTAAAATGGAATCTCATATGCATCTGTGCCAGATTCAAAAGTGCAAAGTCAACGTCTCAAACCAGCCACTAATTCTCACGTGACAAATCATGGAGGGGCAGTTTTGAATACTGATAAAGAGAAAGAGATTTGAGAGCTGCAAAAAATAAATTATAATTATATACAGTATGGTGTGAAAAAATGTATTATGATTATATCTATAATAATTAAATGATTAATTAATTAATAATTAATTAATTAATTAATTAAAGTCATACGGGCTAGTTTTATGATGATTTTTTCTCTTTTGGAGCTTGTCAGATGCATTTACTAGGATTTGTATTAATCAGGAAAACAGCTGTGTGAAGAATTTTCAAAACTTTTCCACTGAAGAATGTATTACTATTCTGTGACCTCTCAGAAGGTCTGAAAACATGCCATGGCAAGCCTTATGGCAAGATTACACATTCTGTTAACTGTAGGACCATGTGATTTCCTCATATTCCTGTGATTACTTTCACTTGGTCCTCCTGCACAAGATTCATAGTGACATAAATGGTTCATTTGGATTAGGAGTATTTTTGAAATCACATAACACAAGGTATTATTGTTCTTGTTCTTGACATTATTAACTTTATCTCTTTCTCCTTGCTTTCTCTCCCATTGTCTTGCTTATCTCTAGCTGAAAGCCTTTCTATTGAGGAACCCCACTATGGATCCTGACAAGACCTCCTATGTGAGGCTGAATGAGGAGAAAGTAATTGCAAAGTAAGATTTCCACTTTTGATACACACTGAACATTAGAAACATGCCTTCTAACTAAAAGCCCTTGTTGTTAAATCTTGTCCCTTTTTCAGGTCTGATATTTTGTCCCTTCTAAAAACGTACAACTGTTATCACGAGGGAAAAAGCTTCCAGCTTCGGATTCGTGAGGTATGTTACATCACAGGAAGTGAAACTAACTGCAGACCTAAATCAAATCTTTTGTTTCCTGGTTAGTGATTAATAGATCTAATCTGACCAAGAGTTGAGTCAGAGTGTGTGAGACAGCAAAACAAAAAGATTATTGTCTCAGAATATGGATGTGGGACATTGGAGTAAATCCAAGTGTGGCATTCCTAAAAATGCTGGTTAAATGGGCCTAGATGACATGTGATTGGCTGCATCTTTAAGCATAACATTATTATGTTTATATTATAATAATTATATGACCCTGGGCCACAAAACCAGTCATAAGGGTCATTTTTTTTAAAAATTGGAGATAGGAGATTTATACATCAAACATCAAACCTGAAAGCTGAATAAATAAGCTTTCCACTGATGTACAGTATGGTTTGTTAGGATAGGACAATATTTGGCCGAGATACAACTATTTGACAATCTGGAATCTGATGGTGCAAAAAAAATCAAAATATTGAGAAAATAGCCTTTAAAGTTGTCCAAATGAAGTCCTTAGGCTTTAAAAAATATGTGGCTTTATATAACTATTGGTGAATGATACCAAAAAAACTTATTGCGATTATATTTATGAGCAGAGCTGGGTAGATTACTAACAGATTGTAATCTGTTACTGATTCCAAATTACATGACAAAAATTGTAGTTAGTTACATAATCCATTACATTACACATTTTAATAGTAATATAATCAGACTACTTTTTGATTACTTTCAGTTTACTTTTGACCTAACTTGTTTATGTAAATAAGAAATCATGTGAATTTGTGCATTTTAGTGTGTTTGAAAGACAAAAACCTTCCAAAGACAAAGTAATACATGATTAAATAACCATAGTTCATCCATAGTTGATGTAATGTTGAAATGCTAAGAAAACGTTTCTTAAAACTGAAATGATTTCTTTAAATCCAGTGGTGATATGCTGTTTGGCTTCTCAATTTTCTGTGTAATTACAGCCACCCGACTAGTGACTGATCTTTGTGTGAATGTCCGCAGAAGACTAGAAGACTTTCTGACTGTAGGTAGTGGTATAGGCTATTTTAGAAAGTACAATTTAAAAGATGAAAAAGAAGAATTAGGGAGAATCAACAAATTATGAATAATTTATTGCTATTAAGTGAATAATATGTAATCATGTAATCAACAAAAATTAACTAGTCTGATTTCAAGTATTTTAAAATATAATTTCATCTAATTACAAGTACCTAATTTTTGGAATCTGATTACGTAATACAGATTTATGAATCATTATTTCTGAGTGAAATCACAGATACATGTACATGCACAGCTAGTGAACAAGTCTCTTTATCCGTTTTCACACTAAAGGCCATTGCAAGGTCACGGGGAGAGATGTAATTATTTACTAAACGATCTACAAATTATTTACAATCTGTTTCTGTCAGTAACAATGACCTAGAGTACAAACAAGCTCCTAATTATTTCCAATTTTATCTCGAAAAAATTATTTACTAAACTATCTACAAATTATTTACAATCTGTTTCTGTCAGTGAACATGACCGGCAGTACAAACAAGCTCCTAATTATTTCCAATTTTATCTCGACAAGTAACTTGACAAGTGTTTTTAATAGGAGGTTTGTGTTTGTGCTCACATTGATTACTTTCAGTTTACTTTTGACCTAATTTGTTTATGTAAATAAGAAATCATGTGAATTTGTGCATTTTAGTGTGTTTGAAAGACAAAAGCCTTCCAAAGACAAAGTAATACATGATTAAATAACCATAGTTCATCCATAGTTGATGTAATGTTGAAATGCTAAGAAAACGTTTCTTAAAACTGAAATGATTTCTTTAAATCCAGTGGTGATATGCTGTTTGGCTTCTCAATTTTCTGTGTAATTACAGCCACCCGACTAGTGACTGATCTTTGTGTGAATGTCCGCAGAAGACTAGAAGACTTTCTGACTGTAGGTAGTGGTATAGGCTATTTTAGAAAGTACAATTTAAAAGATGAAAAAGAAGAATTACGGAGAATCAACAAATTATGAATAATTTATTGCTATTAAGTGAATAATATGTAATCATGTAATCAACAAAAATTAACTAGTCTGATTTCAAGTATTTTAAAATATAATTTCATCTAATTACAAGTACCTAATTTTTGGAATCTGATTACGTAATACAGATTTATGAATCATTATTTCTGAGTGAAATCACAGATACATGTACATGCACAGCTAGTGAACAAGTCTCTTTATCCGTTTTCACACTAAAGGCCATTGCAAGGTCACGGGGAGAGATGTAATTATTTACTAAACGATCTACAAATTATTTACAATCTGTTTCTGTCAGTAACAATGACCTAGAGTACAAACAAGCTCCTAATTATTTCCAATTTTATCTCGAAAAAATTATTTACTAAACTATCTACAAATTATTTACAATCTGTTTCTGTCAGTGAACATGACCGGCAGTACAAACAAGCTCCTAATTATTTCCAATTTTATCTCGACAAGTAACTTGACAAGTGTTTTTAATAGGAGGTTTGTGTTTGTGCTCACATTGTTATGATCTTTTGGATCTGTTACAGTCTCTGGGAAATCCCTGCAGGCTGCTTGTGCTTTTAGAACGAGGTCAAATTTAATCTCAGTATGATACTGAAAGTAAAGAGATTTTCCACTGTTCAGACACACATAGTGACTAAAATAACTGTTTTTAAAATAACTGTCATTGCGTGTGACTATGCATCATATATTACACTTTTTGCAACTAAATGCCATAAATGCGTTCTGCGGAATCTGAGACTAATCTCTCATCTCCCAAAACTAAAGTCTAAACAACACCAAAAAAGCAATATGACCAAAATGTGATCTTGAACTGAAGTGTTTTCTTACAATAACTTTTAGATGGAGCCATTTATAAACAGTTGTTTAGGCTGGTTAAACTAGACAAATTTACTTCAATGTCAATTACTCGGCTATCCGTGGACCAAGTTAAAAGCCTTCAAGTTACGTGAAAGGAAATTGAGAAGGGAAAAAGTAATCTATCCTGTTTTTAAAAGTCCTCAAACATAAATCTGACAATGGTAAATCATCTTCATTTTACTCGTTGTATTTTATCATAATACACAGAACTTCCCAGAAGTCATTAATTGTTCCCAGGTTCAAGTAGGTCTTCTCACAACAACATGCTCAAAAAAAAGGTTTATTTTGTCTTATTAATTAAATAAAATAGAACCTGAATATCTTAGACAATCTCTTTAAGTGGAGGTCTTCAAAAACCTGTGCTGATCTTGTATAAAGCAATATTCTCTGAAGATATAGTCACTTTTTATCTGGGCTTACCTTTGTAGGCCTGTTGTCACATAAATTGACACAGGTGTAACAGTGCCAGGGCTTCTACACAGAAAGTAGCTGGTTTATAAGAAGTACACTATCATCAGGGAACCCAGAGCATGACAAACCTTGCTACATCAATACTTACTTACTTTACTAGGCTCCTGCAATCTATCACAGTTACTCATTTCCTTTCAGCACTTTCACTTTCCGCTGGACCTTTAGTCTTTATCTTAATGTGTCTTTCATCAATCTGTGCTTATCTGCCCCTCCCCTCACCCCTTTCTCTCTCTTTCTTTCTCCATACAGATATTATCACGTGGTAGTATCTGTTTATCCTCACAATACCTGTGACTCAGTCTCATGTGATAATCTTGAAAAAAATAAAACTAAACAGGATTGTCATCACAGGCATTTCAACATTTAGATCCTAGAACTTTGCCAAATGTAAATTATTCTGATTCAACAGTACATTTTAATAATAAAAAAAATACAAAATATGTGTAACAGTAAGCTGTAGAAATATTTGAGCATGAACTCATTCAGTCACATAAGATTTTAAAGTAAACCATTCACTCATAGAGACACACAAAAAATAAGACAACCAGAGGCACATACTGTAAAACACCTAAATAAAAGCACCCAGTTTGATGGCCTTTCAGTCTAGCAACCACCCACAATCTATTCGCTGAGCTTATTGTACATGTTGCGTGCAAAAATGCGTGTTTACACAACTTACAGAAGTTGAGGTGCACCAATTCTGGAAACATGCTTACACAAGTCAATGCACTTAAGGAAAAATCAATCACTGGACCTGACATTTCGCCAGGTTGGTGCGTCACATCTTTGAAAGATTATTGTCTGAGTAACAAGCAGGTCTGTAAGCGAAAGAATGAAAATTACACTTTTGTAAGCAATTTCTGTGAAATAACCTGTACTTAGGCTACTACATCCCTACTGAAAAAACAAACAAAAAACATCTAAAACCAGCCTAAGATAGTTGGCTGGTGTTAGCTGGTCATCCAGCCTGGTTATAGCTGGTCAGCAGGCTGGTTTTAGTGGGGTCTTGACCACTTCTTTAGCTGGCCAGGCTGGGAGACCAGATAAAACCAGCTACTTCAAGCTTAAACCAGCTGTTTTTTTAAGCTTTTTTTTCAGCAGGGTTATAAACAGACAGAAACTCATGTCTACACATATTTTCGACTGTTTTTACTTTCCTTTCTGTACAGACTTGCTGTGTAATTATTTTAAATAATCAATATATCTGTTTGATGAGCTTTTCATGTTGGTATTATTGTGACAGAACTGGGTGGAAAACACTAGAAGCCACTAAAATGAAACAAACATCTACTATTCTGCATTACGTGTTGTAACATTTTTATGATTCATGGTGAGACTACAAAAGAAAACACTTTTCTTACCAACATGTTTCCTCCTTGTCCTCAGGCAGCAGGTCAGAATCAGAGCGTTCATTGAGCGCCCTCTGTTGGTTGTGTTTAGACAATGCTGTAAAATTGCATGCAGCCAACAGAGGTCGCCCTTAGCTTCGGAACTGAACTTAAAAAGATAGTTCACCAAAAAACGATTTTGTGATAATTTACTTTCTCTCATGTTGTTCCAAACCTGTACGAAATTCTTTCTTGTGCTGAACACAAAAGAAGATATTTTGAATAATGTCATTGAG